AAGCCCTTTGGGTTTAATGCTTTTTCATTGCTCTCTACTCACAAATAGAGCTAACTTTTTATATTAGTTCTGGGTTGCTTTTAATAAATAGCCTATGTTGTAACCACATGCTTCTGTTCCTTGCTCATGACTGCATCGCCACCCGATGTAATGACCCTCCTTTAACCTATGTGGCATTTTTCTTTTCTTCCTGTGTTGACTGCATACTGACTCACCAAATGATGGCTGATGTCCAGAAGATCAAGAAAACTGAAAGGAAGTATTTTTTTTTCTCTGAAGTGAAAGTTCATTTCCCTAGTGGGTAGATTAATAAAGACTGAATGAAAAGAGCAATTCTTTATTAAATTATAAAGCTAGTTCCATAAGAGGGCCTGACTATTGCTACCTCTCCCTTCAGCCAGTGTTATAAAAAGCTCATCTTATTTTGATACTTGGTTTGAGGTAAACAGCAAGGTCAGGGTGTCCCAAAGTGACAAGCGCAGTGACAATGTATTTGTGCTTGACTTTGCTCAGAAATAGGCCAGAAGTGTTCAGAGAAGTCATGTGACATGCAGAGTTAGGGCTTGGAGTATTTTAGTGCTGTCATCTTGTCAGGGGTAGGTAGGAAACTGTGGTTACACAATACACAACCTATATTTGATGTTAAACACTGAATAGTTTAGAAAGTAAGAGAAGCAGCATTTAAAAATGGAGCTCTGATAAATGATGCTGACTGCTAGTTGGAGCAATACTCTAAAATAAATTCCTATTTTAGTAAAACGTTGCAGGCATTTGGGTTATTTTAATAGGTAGGGGGCTTTAAATTAGCAGTTGCCATCTGTTCCTCCTTAGCTCATTAAATAGAGTAGAAAAACAAACATGAAATCAGTTAAAAAAAAAAAAAAAAAAAGACAACAGAATTAAAAATTACAGTCACAGTTTTCTAAAATGATAAGCAGCTATGGGCATTTTACTGAAGGCAAAAGGAAGTGTATACGTAAATTGGAATTTTCTTTTTTTATGTAATATCCAAAAAGTTCTTCAGGGAAGTCATTCTTTATTTATCTCTTATAGCAGCACACAGTCTCTGAATAACTGACTCTTCCATGGCCATTGTTCTTGTTGTTCCTTTAGGTCATACTTTATCTCCATAATCACTTCCTGATCTGCTTTCTTATCCTGCCTTGGAATTTTATAACTTTCCTTTTCATGTTTTTTTGGGACCAAAATCTATGGTATAAGTAACTGTTTTGGCGTACCCGACAATGTCTTACATAAATATTTTGTCATTTTAATGTCTGGATTCTTGAATTTAAGAACATAGTTTAAGAACATGTTTTATAGGCTCTCTGAGCCACTGTAATGCGCCTCCTCCCCAGTCATAGATTCATAGATGTTAGGGTCGGAAGGGACCTCGATAGATCATCGAGTCCGACCCCCTGCATAGGCAAGAAAGAGTGCTGGGTCTAGATGACCCCAGCTAGATGCATATCCAACCTCCTCTTGAAGACCCCAGGGTAGGGGAGAGCACCACCTGCCTTGGGAGCCCGTTCCAGACCTTGGCCACTCTAACTGTGAAGAAGTTCTTCCTAATGTCTAGTCTAAATCTGCTCTCTGCTAGCTTGTGGCCATTATTTCTTGTAACCCCTGGGGGCGCCTTGGTGAATAAAACCTCACCAATTCCCTCCTGTGCCCCCGTGATGAACTTATAGGCAGCCACAAGGTCGCATCTCAACGTTCTCTTGCGGAGGCTGAAGAGGTCCAGGTGCCCCAAGTCTCTCCTCATAGGGCTTGGCCTGTAAGCCCTTAACCATATGAGTGGCCCTTCTCTGGACCCTCTCCAGGTTATCCGCATCCCTCTTGAAGTGCGGTGCCCAGAATTGCACGCAGTACTCCAACTGCGGTCTGACCAGCGCCCGATAGAGGGGAAGTATAACCTCTTTGGATCTATTCGTCATGCATCTGCTGATGCACGATAAAGTGCCATTAGCTTTTCTGATGGCTTCATCACACTGCCGACTCATGTTCATCTTGGAGTCCACTAGGACTCCAAGATCCCTTTCCGCTTCTGTGCCACCCAGCAGGTCATTTCCTAGGCAAGCAGGTCATTTCCTAGCCCTGGAGCACATTGAAAGTGCCTGTGCCAGTTGCAGCAGATGGGGCTAGCTTAGCAGTGCCTGCGACTGGCAGAGCCCTTCAGCCCCTACCCTTCAACCCCAGCTTGGGTGCAGCTGCCTGAGCCTGCCTGGCTGCCCAGGGCTGGATGGTCTCTGGACCAGGTAACCTGCTCTCTACCCTCTGCCCAGGGCAGGGCCATGGGACTGAATGGACATGGCCCTGGGAAGGGCAGGACCCGGTTGGGCTGAGAGGCCGGGGAAGGACCCTGCTGCACACAGCGGAGGTGGGGTGGCTGCCTGCAGTGGTGAGTGGCCATCTGGCTACAAGAGGGGCTTGAGTGCTGGGGCGAGGTGGGCAGAGTGCATCTTGCGGAGGGGTGCAGCTGTGAGGGGCCCCATCCCCCATGGGGGAGCGCCTACCCCAGTGGCTCGGATGTAAA